CCATCCGCTCGCGCTCGCGCCAGGCGTCTGGAAACCGCGAGCTGCCCGAACCGCTCATCGGACCCGAGGGCCCGCTGCTCGCGAGCGTACCCGCCACCAGCCTCTTCGACACGTTCAAGGAGGCGCTTGGCGATCTGTGGCTGTTGTGGGAATGCGTGCTGCTCGCCGAGCCCATCCTGGTCATCGCGCCCGAGCCCAAGATCGCCAGCGAAGCAGTGTGGCACATGCTGGACCTGATCCGGCCTATTCCGTACGCGGGCGACTTTCGGCCCTACTTTCACATCCACGACTACGACTTCCGCACGCTCGTCACCAAGAATAAGCCGCAGGCAGGCACGCTCATTGCTGCGACCAATCCGTTCTTCGCCACGGCGTGTGGACATTGGCCGCACGTGCTCCGTGTGGGCAAGGCGGCGGTGAAGCTGATCACGTTCAAGCACAATCCCAACGGCGGCGCGGGTGGGGCGAAGAAGGGGCCGACTGTTGGTGGGGGGATCGGTGGTGGGCATGGAGCGGGTGGTGGAGGACCGGACCATATTCCTGGCTTTACGACCAAGCGCAAGAGGCGGATCAGTAAGGATCGACAGCTGCTCAAGCGGCTGCAGGATCTTGCCGCTGCTGCTGCCAAGAATGGTGGTAGCGACGAAGCGGTGCAGGCAGCGTGTCAGGCGGCGAATGTGACGATGCGACGGTACTTTGCCGATCTGACGGAGCGGTTTCTTGCGCCGTTGAATCGGTACGTGGCCTCGTTGGTGCCTGCGTCGTTTGACCTGGGATCGCCATCGGAAGTGCCCAAGATTCGGCCTTTCAACACGACGGATTTCCTCGCGTCGCTCAAAGCACACGGGACGCCACTGGCGATCCGATCGCGCTCGTTACCTACGGGTGCTAGTGTGCGCCAGAGTGTTTATGTCGACTTTCTGCGATGTCCCAACTTTTCCCTCTGGCTGCACTCGCGCGTCGCCGCCGCAGAGGAAGAACAGCGCAGGAGGTACATTGCGAGTCTGATGCAGGGCGATGTGACTGCGTTTGGCAGCACGCGGGGCGAGATCGAAACCATCGACCTTTACTCGCGCCTCGTCGAAGAAATCCGCCTCGTAGACGTGCAGCTCACCACACCCACCGAACCCGGACCGGGAAGCAGGTGGAGGACAGACAAACCAGCCCCAGCTAAAGACGGAAGCGCTACGCCGAACAAGGCGGTGGTGGGAAACACCACCGAAAAGAGGCTCAGGGATCAAAAGGCAAAACTCATGCAACAGCTCGATCGACTCTGCCAGACTCTGCCCGCTGATCTCAGGTCGAGTCTGCGCAGACCGGCGTAGCACAAGCCGCAGAGGAACACGTCGAATCAGATGCCATTGCTTGCAGTCATCATCAGTCACAGTGTCAATGCGTGCCTGATGTCGGAGTGTGAATGCGTGGGCGAGATGGACGTGTGCGGAAACGTGGCAGGTGGGACGGGAGACGTCGAAGTGAGTCGCCGTGAATGGAGAAGAGGGCGCGGCGATGATTATGGGACGCCGAAGTGGGTCGTCCTGCGTGTGGTCGCCGTGCGCGAGAGTGAGGATCGCGAGATGATGTACAGCGCGGACAGGCTCCGGCCATTTGCGCTCTTGTAGATGTGTGCGCGGTGCGAGAAAGTTGATAGGTCGCAGAACGGTACGCGCTGAAGGCAGACCTACGCCGTTGCCTGCGCGAATGTGGCGAAGAAGGACGAGCAAGTTGCGTCGGGCGCATGTCGATGCATGTCTATGCCTCCCGCAGCAGTGTATAGCAGTCGTGAAGGTGGACGAGCGTGTGCCATGTGTCGCCACCGTCATCGTCAGAGCCGTAGGTGTGGAGGGGAAAGAGATGATGTGCGGCATTGGAGTGGGTAAGGGTGTCGCCTCGAGAGGAGTGGGTGCCACGGTCGAAGGCACGACCTAGAAGAGCGTGGTGATGCCGGTGGCTGCGGAGGACTCGCGCACGCTGCGAGCAGGCGAAAACAGCGGGGCGTCGGGCGGCACAATGCTGGACGCTCGCGACGAAGCCGCGCGCCTAGAGCCCGAGTCGAGCACAATCGTGCCATTGGATCGCGCCGGACGGCGGCTGCCCGACAAGTCGATCGGATCGTCGATACTGCCGCTCGGACCGCGCGACGTAGACGCCTGAGATGCGGCTGCCGGCGTAGGCGCCCGACTGGTGCGAGGCGAGGCTGGGACCGAATGACGCCACTCGCCAATCTGGTTGCCGACTCCACCAACGTGCTTCGAGCGATGCTGACTTCCACTTGTACCGGCCACAACACTACCGCCGCGCTTGGGCTCGACCGGAGACGGCTGCATGAGATCGCTCACGTCGCCCACCTTGATGACCGACTGGGTTTGCTGCGAAGCGAGAGTGCCGCCAAGGCTGCGTGCGATGGATGCTGCACGACGTCCAGCGCGTGCGCCAGAGCCAGCATGCAGATCATCGCCGCCAGTCAGATCGATTGGCTCGGGCTTCGGGGTGGCGCGAACGACGGTGGGAGTGGCCTGACGACTGGCAGCTCGTGAAGTGATAGCTCGCGGCGTGGTCTCGCGGCTGCGGCTGCGGCTGCGTCGGTCGCTACCCGCGCGCGAGCCCACACCGATCTTGGCCAAGAAGCGCGAAAAGCCTGCTTGGCCCTTGTACTGCGCACGCAGCAGGCGCATCGTGTCGCGCTTCAGATCGAGCTCCTTGTGTGCCACGTCGTACTGGGCTTTATATCGTTCCTTCTCGACCAGGATGCGCAAGCGCGCCGCCTCGAGTTCACTTTCCTTCTGATTACGCTTCTCCGCGATCGCGTTGCACTTGGCCGAATCCTGGCTTTCGTCCTGCATCACCTTCGCCACGAGGTACTCGTAGATCTGGCCCAAGCGCTCCGTGGTGGGGTTGAAGCCTCGGTGCGAGCGCGACGAGGTGGAGAGCGCCGGGCTCCGAGAGTGGCGTCCATGTCGGCGCAGCGTGATAGATCCACTTGCATCGCTCGGAGGTCCACGCGCACTGCCCGCACGCGAAGGAACGAGGGCCAACTCCTGGATCGCCTGCAGTGCCTCCACGGTCAAGAGTCCAGTGCGGCTGGCGAGAGGCACTTCGGATCCAGCCAGCGACTCGTTGTCTGCAGGCATGGCGGCTGTGGAAGGCGCTGCTCCGCCTGCTTGCGCATCGGTGCGTCGGGTGCAGGAAACAATGGTGAAGTCATCTTGCGTAGCATCGGCCATGTTGACATTGTTCTCCGCCTGAATTACTCCTACGGCGGGGGCATTGCCATGCGTGTCAGGACGGTTGTCATTCGAGGCAGCTTCGCCATCCTCCATATCGACGTCCTGCGCAGTGGAGACCGCAGGCCTATCAGTGGCAGCGCTCTGTCCCTCAAGAGAGTCCGAAATAACCAGAAGGGCGTGAGCAGCGGCCTGCTCGGGAGTTGCGTCGGACATTGCGTCCTGGTGCTCGGGGGCAGAGCCGTCGCCGATGGTGCGAGCAGCCTTGTCACCCTGCGCTGCTGGCATCTGTTCGGCAGTGGTACTGCTTCCCACGTCCATATCGTTGCTGGCCGCCGTTGCATCGCCCACAACACCGGAAGGAGCAGGCAGACCGCAGCCGTCGATGGTGCCGTGCGAATTCATGTTTTCGAGTGCGTCTCCGAGGATCGAGTCGATTCCGTCGAGCAACTGCTCGAGTCCATGTCGGATGCTTTGTCCTCCCACATCCATGCTTTGCGAGTCGATGGTCTGAGCGTTGTTGCCATCCAAAGAGTCCTGAACACGACCTTCGTTGGCCGAGCCCTCCATCACAGCCTCTTCGTGGGGTGGAGCCGGCGCAGGGACAGGCTGGAAGGGATCCGACGCAGTCTGGGCAGAAGGGGCGGCGGGAGGAAGTGAAGCTGCACGCGTCGGCGAAATGTGATTGGCGATGCTGGTGATACGGCTCCAAGCACCGGTCCATCCACGAGGGCTTGTTGGCGCCACGAACGAAGCGTCGCCGGGAAGCTGGAAGTCGCGGCTCGACCGACCTGCGGCTGACTGCGCGACTGCATGATCAGGAGCGTTCTCCGGATTCATCGACCCTGCACGACGGGGCAAGCCAGGGCCGGAGAGGTCGGGGGTCAGGAGGCCTGCTGCCGAGGACGTCATGCAAGTCTGGGTTGCAGGGGCGCTGATGGATCCTGCGTGACGTGCATCTTCATGTCCGTCGATGTTGTTGCTATCTTCGGCAATGCGGAAGCCGTAGCTGGCCAAGTTCCGGCGGGAGATGAAGGCGTCGATGAACTGGCGAAGCTGGCGCTCTGCCTGGCTGCCTACAGCGATGTTGCTTGCGTCGTCTCGATATGAAAGGCCATCGTCGGACAGGGGGACGCCCGGGAAGGGGGTGACCATCGACGCATCGTCCTGGCTCTGATAGACAAACCTGACCGTAACGTTCTGCTTCAGAGCCGGCCTCTCCACTACAAGCCGTCCAATGGAAAACATGTGGGGAAAAATGCCGCCGTCAGTGCGTGAACGCACTATAATGAAGAAGGCAATGTTTTATGAGCTTCAGACTTACCAAGGACCTCGATGTCGCACTCGGGAACCTCGTTGACGAAGCCCGCATCGATCCAAAGTGATGTATGGCGATACGAAAACTCGATCGGTTGGGCCTCGCAAATCACCCGTGCTTCTCCCGTGCCGTTCTCGCGGCTGATCGCCCGGAATGTCACGAAGTCGCACTTCGATGCGTCGGCGACGGGGGGCTCCTCGTCGGAGTGACGCCAGACGCGGACCAGGTTGTGACGAGCCTTGCTACCATGCGTCACCTGGAACGTAAGCGCATCCACCCGAGAGTTGCCCATGGGCTGCTGGCCGTAGTCGGTAACCACGCGAGAGGTTTCTTGGATGCGAAAGAGACCGAGCCGGGTGGACCGTTCTGGAACGACCCGCTGACCAGCATGGTGGTACTGTTGGAAGATTTCGGCCACCTCGCGCGAGTTGGAGTGGCCCTCGAAGAGGAAGTGAAGATCGATACCGATGCCCTCGAAGATCATTGTGGAAGCCGAGTCGATATTTTTTTGTTGCTTAAGTTTTCTGGGTTTTTTTGTCGGATGCTGTTTTTGCTGATACGGTCTGGGAACAGAGGCACGGGACGATGGCGGTGACGAAGCTTGAGAGTCTGCCTCGTGTGGTGCTGAAACGGATCGGATACTTGGGGACACAGAAGCGAGAGGGTCTTGGTGGAGTCGTGGAAGATTTGGCTGTTGTCCTCGTGAGGTTCAGTGTGATGAGGATAAAGGTGTCGTTGCTGAGGTGTGTGTATATGTGTGAGGTGTGGATGAGAGGTGGAGAGTCGGGTGAGGCAGGGGGATGATGGGTGCTCGCGAGGAGGCCGCCTTATATCTCTTCGACGTCAGCTAGCTTTCCGCACCTCTAGGAGCTCACTGTATAGCGAAAGCTGGAGGTCAACGACGCCCGCTTCCGCACTTTCAGCGAGCTCCAACGGCTCTTGGAGGTGCGGAACATGTGTGAGGTGCGGACTTGCTTCGGCAGCTATGGCGATGTTCGGACGATGGTCTAGACGTTGGTTCCGCACCGACATCCGCACCGACATCCGCATATACGCTCCTCCGAAGTTTGACGGCGATGCACGTCGACTCGCCCTGCTTGCCTCCTATTCGCTCCACGAAGCGGCGGTCCGCCGAATCTGCTCCGATGCTCCATGCCTTGCACATGGTTCCTTCAAACAAGCTTTGCCTGAAACTGGACCTTCTGTGTAGACACCGCTCCATGACGGAGACGAGCCTTTCTCTTCCCGCACTCCGAATCAGAACCATCATCTCTGTCCTCCCAACGGCAACATATTCGGGCTAGACCTTGTGCGCTTACGATCATCTTCACCGTCTGGATGTGGCAATCGGGCGAGGGATGTAGCTCGGTGGTAGGGTCAATGCTGTTGATTCGTGATAGTGTACATATGGTGCTTTTCGGGCTGCTGAATATCGTGCTCCGTCGGAGGAACGTGGTGCGGGTGCGGAGATGTCATCCGCTCGAGCTGTGTCGGTCTAGACTTTGAGGGCAGAGTGCGTGATTAGGGTGATGACAGCTGTGTGACTTTGTCGGATATTCGCGGAGACGAATCGCACCGAAGGAGGCCACATCTCATGGATCACGTGTCCGGATACTGCTCCATCATCCCTGATGCATGTATACATGCAGATCGCTCCGAGCTGGTCGTCCATTCAGAGGCTGGGGCCTAGCAACCTCCTAAGCGTCCTGTTGATCCTGCCTCGCGGGCTGAGGACGGTACCACCAAGGCCGTTGAGACGGTCTCTGGACATGTGCGAGTTCAAATGTCGCTTTCCTGCCAGTCCTCGCTTGAAGTCGAGCTGGTACGCCTTGCCGCTGCCGCTGCCGAGGGGCGTCCAGCGCTTCTTGGTGCCGGTATGCGACTTGAGCTTGCCGCCACTGCCGTGCTGTGCGAGGTGCTTCTTGCGCGGGCTCGCCTCGGCGATGCGAGATGTCGAGAACATTCGCGTGGCGTTGAACGAGCTCGAAAGAGAGGATGGTCTCACTGGTGTCAAGGGCGAGCGAAGTGCGAAGAAGCTTGGTCTGGCGAAGGCCGCCATGAATCGTGATGTTGTTGCAAACATCGTATGTGCGAGGTCGAGTGGTCCAGTGCCGTGAGCAAGGATTAGGTTCGGATGAGCGCTGCAATAGGTCACTACGAACCAAGCGTTGAAGCAGCGGGGACCGAAGGATGTGCCTTGAAGCTGCAGATGTCGACTAAGTTGAGACAGATGGTGGACCTGATGGTGTCGGAAGCTTTAGGGCGAGAGGGACTTCCAACTTTTCTTCCAGCCCCCGATTTCACGTGACTTGGGCTTGAAAGAAGCGTTGGCCTAACAGCTGTAAAGTTCGCCTCCACATGTGCGGGTCGAGTCCATCAGCTCGACATCCATCGCGGGAAGGTATTCTTCAAATCAAGACTCTTATCTGTTTAGCAGATTGTAACCAGCCGAGCTACACAGGCACGTTCGGTCGATCAGGTGTCCAGGTGTCAAAGAAAGGGGCTGATGAGCCTTTGACGATGGCGGAAGGACCAGGCAAGGCGGTGAACGGGTCTTCCGCAGCAGTAATCGGTCAAGAAGCTCCTGCGACGAAAGACGACAAAGCCGCAGAGTACCTTGACACCTTCGCGCGCTATTCGGATCTTCCACCGTCTTCAGCTCCTCTAGGCTGCTTTCGAGGCACGCAGGAGCGCATCATCGACTGCTTTGCTCCGCACATGCTGGCGGAAGTCAGCGACCCAGAGACATTACAGGCTCTTCCCTACCTTCTTCCTCCACCGCAACATCCTTCCGACTCTTCCGCAGCGTCTCTTTCAAGCAGTCGAGCGCTATGGGGGCAGAGTCTCGAATCGCGCACGTTCTTGCCCCCTTCGCCTGACGACGAGGTGATCCCTGTCGATCCGGACATTGCTGCGAAGCTTGAGAGGTTTCTGGAACTCAAGCGGCAAGGGATGCACTTCAACAAGTCGCTCATGGAGACACACGCATTCAAGAATCCACACCTCTACTCCGGCCTCGTCTCTATGCTGAGTATCGACGAAGCAGCGTCTAATCTGCCTTTCCTCGACACGGCTCGATCCGAGCCGGGATGGCGAAGATTGTTCCCCTTCTCGGAAGAAATGCTCATCGAAGGCGATCCAATAGCGGCATCCAACACGCAGTCACAAGAGGCCTTCGCGGCCCGTGAGGCCAAGATCAACGCAAAGGGCAAAAGGACTATCGACTTTGTCTCCTCCTCGACGTCTGCTTCTGACGAGTCGAGAAAGACAGCGCAGGCCGACAAACAAGCCAGGCTTGATGAATCCGCACATGGCCGGTCCAAACGAGGCCGCTCGTCATCTTCCCACCACAGCACGTCCGATCGACATCGGCGCTCTCGTGAATACGCCGAAGCGAGACCGAAAGACCACTCGAAACGTCACTGAACAGCTCACACGACGACAATATACCCAGTGCACATCGCCTTGCTCGAGACTCGTTACGTGTTAGTTGTCTATTATCGGTGATGGTTCTGGTATAGAATGGCAGACTTCAGGCGGAAGGTGGCACTGGCGGAGCGGCCGAGTTCTTCCAACCGGAGCGCAGGCCGGCCATGGCGGCAATGGTGCCAAAGAGGCCGACCCAGCCGTCGGAGATGATGCCCGTCGCGCACGACCAGTGGATGGTGAGAGGCAGGTAGCCGAGGTTGACCCAGAGCTCGTTGAGGATGGCTGCCTTGCGGTCATCCAGCTCGTCCCACATCCTGCGGGTGATGACCTGCTCTTGAGAGGCCGAGCCTGACTTCTCCGACGGTGTCGACGCGTCGGCAACGAGACCGTTGGGCTTGAGCTGGATCTTGTTGGGCGTCGGGTGGCCGCGAGAGCGCTCGAGAGCCTTTGCGCGGAGGCGGAGCAGGCGGTTGTCTTCGACGAGATGAAGCAGCTGGAGGCCGACGTAGAGCGCCCAGAAGCGCGAGCCCCAGAGCCAGAAAGAGTTCTGGATGGCGGCGGGGACGGGGAGGACGCCGTGGCTGCCGAGATAGGCGAGCGCCTCCATCGGGCAGTAGGCGAGCATCGACCAGCCCTGGATGCGCTCGATGTTGTGCAGCAGACGTGTCGGAGGCGGCGAGCGTTCAAGACCGATCATCCACTTGAAGATGGGCAAGATGCCCCAGATGCGGTAGAGGATTCTAGCATCGCTGATGAGCGCGCTCAGCTTCTGCACCCTCTGAGCTGCCGAAGAGGACTTGGTGGATTTGATGCCGAGCATGCGCAGCCGCAAGGCGTATTGGAGGTTGAGCAATACAATGACGAGCTTGGACGAGTACTGGGTAAGCATGAGCGCCTTGTCGGTGCCGGACCACGTCGAGAGGTAGCGAATCATGTGGTCGAGACGTGGCGAAGGCTCGACATTGGAGAAGCACCCGAGGATCTTATCGGTGGGGTTGAGCTTGCGCGGTGTTGGTCGGCGAAGTGCCGAGGCAGCCGGTGCGGGTTTCGACATGTCGGCGAAAGGCTACGGCCGTGACCTGGGTGGGGCGAGGCGCCTATCTGTGCGTTGTATGCAGTTGCAGCGGCGAAACGCTTGGCTCTAGGCGTGGCGGCGGACCAAGGTGCGAGAGGTCGACTGCTTTACGGTGCCGGTATGGTGGTTGGAATGGAAAGAGGATGCCTGTCGATGGAGCAGCGGACGAAGTGATGGTTGGAACGACCGTGCCTTGTTGTGTGACTTTACAGCAACCCACGAGCTGTGCCTCCGGGTCCACGCCGAACACGTCCGGCAACCTGAGGCCGTGGCTTTGTGCTGCTTGCCGAGCTGACCGGAGGCGCCGAAGAGCCGATTTCACGCCTTCCCCACTCACGCACGACGACCGACGCGACCCGTGCCAGACTCGTTGCCTCTCCCCAAAAATTCCAATCCAAAAGCTCCGGACCCCACAATCGCATTCAAAATTGGCTGTCTGGGTTTATGCACAGCGATGTCCCAAATTCATTGCGACCTTTCTTCACGTCGGCAAGAACCCTTCGCAGCGCACAAGAGGGCGCGAAGGAGCGTGAAAGGGCAAAGAGCGCAGAGAAAGCGCAACATGACAGATCGCCCGGTACCGAGCCTGGAAGTCTTCGCCTGGTTTCCCCTGAGCTCTTCTTCGCAACAGCAGCATCGGCCGGGTCCTCATCCATTCATCGTGGTCTTACACACGACAGAATTCCGGTAGTCAAACGAGTGTATTGCTTAGTGTGCATGGTCTCCAACGTCTGGATCGCCAAGCACGGGCTCAGCTTGTACCAAAGCGGCGGGGGCCAGCAAAGTCCAATCGTGGGCTGCCTGCTCGGACCGGTTCGAAAGAATATGAATGGATACCTGCGAGCTTTGTCGTCCATTGCGAAGGCGAAGCATGCGGAGACGGCAGCTGTTGCTGTTGCATCTGTGGCGACGCCACCGGGCTGGGCGTGTCTCGCAGCTCGTATCGAACTCGTGGGGGATAGATTTGCTTGCGGAGGCCACGATGGTAAGAAGGAAGGTGCACGTGGCTGTCCACCATGGTATCGAAATGCCCGTCTGGTGCCATCCTTGGCGTTGCTGTGACACCATCATCCATCAGCTCTTCGGTCTCTTCAAAGGCAACTTGCTGCGCCAACCGATGCCGTCCGAACACAGGAGACGAGTATTGTGTCGGAGTTGAAGCACGAGAGCACGGCCCAGCACTTGACAAGTCCGACTCCGAAGAAATTCGCCTAGATCGGATGTCCGGTGAGCTGGTGGCAGAGAGGATGGATAGCGCCGGGCTCGAGCACATGTCTCTCGTGCTCCTGCTCCAATCCACAAGATCGTCTTGTGATCTCGACGGGCCTAGGTCGGAGACGACCCTGTTGGTACCGAACTTCTTGAACGCTCGGCTGATGAGAGTCTTGCCTTTTTGAGCTCGGGGTGCATGCCTAGTTCTGTGCATAGCTGCTTCGTACGTCCCGTTTGTGTTGCAGCCTTCATCGCTACTATTGCTAAATGCCGAAGCCAGCGAGACTCGGGACGCAGAATGCCGTAGGGTACCCAAAGAGCTGGTCGAGGTATGCGTGTGCTCGGATGCAGCGTTAATCCAATATCTCCCATCCGCCTTGCTCTCCGTCACGTCGGAGAAAAGGAGAGACGCTGAAGCCGCTGGCGAATCTAGACGTCTTGTTCCAACTGGAACCGTGCTGGCTTGCTCTAGGTTTTGCTGTTCTGCTTGCATGACCTTCTTGGCGATCTCACTCGCCAGGTCTGGATCGAGACAGATGCTGTCCCCTCTACTGCAGCCAGGCGTAGACTCGATAGGTGAGGCTGGAGGCTCGAACCTTGTGAAGAAAGTTCCATAGCGATCCAGATTCATGGGAGCGTCTTGCTGTGTCGCCAGAGTAGCCCTTGGCGGTCGGCGCAAGCGAGGAGGCCGCTTCGGAGGAATGGGAGGAGAGCTTAGAGGCGAGCCTAGACTTGTGTCCGTCGATTCTGACTCCAAGGAAGGAGTCGTGCTGATTGTGCGACATAACAACGCGACTTCATCGAATGCTGCCGCGAAGGGTGACTTGAGCGCCGGCGCGATCGTGACATCGCTGAAGGACGAAGCTTGTGAAAACACAGTATCCACGCTCATCCGATGAGAAAGGTCCACTGAGTCTATAGGTGGTGAAGAAATTTGAGGGTCAGTATTGGCTTGTTGCAAGGATTAACGCTCCCAAGCAAAGAGGAAGAGTCCTACGAACCGTCAATAGGACATATATCCACAGTGTCGTCGCTGCTGTTGCTTTGGCGAGACAGAATTCGATGATCGCTTGTTTCTGCCTTTGAGCCTTGTCCGGCAGATTCTTCGGAGGCGAGTGCGTCCCGAATTCGGAGCAATTGAGGCTCTACTGTGGTCAGGTAGCTGATTTCTGACATTCAGAGAACGTCATCCAAAGTGCACAATGATCAAGGCAATCGTGTAGAGATAAAGGAAGCTGTTGTCGACAAGGATTACACGAGTGCAGGTAAAGAGCAGCCGTCCCGTCGAGACGGGTATGTTTGCAGGACACGGACCTGCGTCAAGCTGGTGGGCTCTCTAGTGCGAAGGACGTTTCCTTACTTGAGTAGAGGGCTGGACTCACGGTGGATTGCTGAAAGGCATCTTTCAGGATCTTTGGTCGCCTCAGCTTCAGGGGCGCGTGTTATGGAAATGTCGAGCTCGGATACCAGTTTCATATCGACCCAGCGATCATTGCTCAGGCGGATATGCAGCGCTATGACCGCGATCAGAGAAATTAGGCTTTACGAGGTTCCAGCGCAAAGGCTCGTCCACCCACCTCCCCGCGAGGAGATTGCAGGTCTTACCAACTTACTCGGAGAGAGCCAGCTGGCCTCCTATGCAAGTGCTTGTGCTCACCATGCACCATTCTGAACGGCTAAGACAATTATCACTTGAGGCCGGGCATCGTCCGGTCCGCTGCTTTGTACGGTCCAGCAGCAGGAGGAGAAGACAGGGACGGCTCGGGATCTATGTCAGCTTGGGCCTTTCCTCGCCACGGGAATCGAGAGCACGGCCCCCTTTACCTTGCAGATTCTTTGTGATTCCGATTGGTCGATTGTACCCTTTCCTGCTTTTCACAGCCACTGCTCTTCAATCGAGAAAGACGAGCCAAGGCTGACAGGCCTGATTTTGACGTCACACGCTCCAAGCTCATATCGCGACAACACGCCATTTCTCGTTGTGTAGCTCAAGCGGCTGAATGGGGTCTTGCTTGAGCCCAAACGTCGCCTGCCAGCTTACGCACCCACTTGGCTTTGGCTATTTTAAAGAAGCTCGGACGCGGGGGCAAGCGCCCCGCTCTTGCTTCGCTCGCTCCTTCGGCTACCACGAGACTATCCCTGGACATCGCGAAGGGAACTCGTCCGCTTTTCCTAGGAGTAAGCTTGCTCCAAAAGGTCTGACATACTTGAGAGGGTCCTGCAGCGACACCATCGACGGTGCCATGAGGAAAGAGACATGATTGTGCGAAGATGGAGCTTCAATCTGCCATGTTGAGCAGGTGAGGCGGGCGAAATCGGACAGCGGGATCCGAGACATGTCCAGTATGATCTTCCGATGTTGGCGTGACAGGCGACAGCGCGAGAGAAGCTGAGCTTGCCCTGCCGGCTCAAAAGCGCCAAGTGGCCGACATGCTGCTTTCAATCCTCACAGCAATGACGAGCCGCAAGATTGTGAGACGTAGAGGGTAGTGCTGCGGACTTGAATAGGTTCTACGTCGGCAGCAGAAGTCCAGTGGTAAACAGAATATGATCGACCGAGCGGAAGAGACAGCCGAAATGAAGTCAGGCGGGCCGGGTGCATCGGCGGTTGAGCCATGCTTCTGCTGCAGGCTCTGGATCAACGGAGCCGCCCGGGACGCGAGTGCATCCATTCTCTGTCCAGTCGTGGGTCTGGCAAACAATTGCCGCGTACTGTGGCGTTCTCCCTGTTGGTCGCACACTGCCGCAGCTTTCCGCAACGGCGTGCGAGCTGCCTTCAAAGAGGATTACCTCGGCTGCCTCGATCATCAGACTGCACCAGGAATCGTTGAGGCTCTCAGCAAGGCTGCTACGTTCGTCGTGTGAAGCCGACCAGGACTTGTCAAGTTCTCCGCTTTCCTCGATAGATTCATTGATCCAGTGGGCCAGCCGGCAGGAGGCTGGCTTGGTACAAAATTCAAGGGAGAATCCGCAACGGGCCCCTTTCAAAAGTGAGCCTGACAGCCACGTCTCCTGAGCGCCTCCTGAGTTGGATTAGAGGCAGTACATATCTGACAACGGCATGGCATTTTATGTTGCAACATATGGCTTGAAGCAGCTCTGTCAGTGCCACAGGCCTACTGCTCTCGCACTGATACTTCGTATGAGCTATGACACATCAACACAGTCATTCAACGCTGTTGATCAGATCTGCCCTGAACCTGCCTTCTTGCCTTACTCGGATTTCGCCGCAGCGGACAAGTACCTTTCTGAAAGAGCAAAAAGTGAGGATCATCGCTATATCTCATGTGGTGGGCGGATCCGCCACCTCTCCAAGGTATGCAGAAATGGCGTTCAGCAAGCGGATGAAGTCAGGTACGCAGGGCGCTGGTGCCATTTGTGTGCATCCCGACGCTCCCACTTCATTTCAGCCACATCAGGCAGCGGCTGATCTCCTATTGCGACAAAAGCGTTGCCGAGCTAGTAGACTCTACACGACTGCTTACTACCACCACTTGTCATCCTGAGCCCCATCGGATAGCGCTATCGTGTGGAAAGAGCTCAGAAGGTGCTTGCACTTCGACTCGCCACCCAGGGTTCTTCCTCGCCACCTGAGCATCACAAAGGATACCGACCAGACGGATCAGGTCAACGCAACATCATTTCTGAGCCTCGGACAATTGCTACTTGCCATTGCAGCTGGCTTAGGCTCGCCTGCTGATGAAGGCAACATGGCGTTCGAGCACCCTGAGAACGATGCCTTCGCCGGTGCGTGTGGCAAACGCAGGAGCAGAGACGTGCTTGCGGGGCGCGATAGCTGGATATCTGTGCTCGACAGTGCCTCGACTCTGGGCACATTCGCTATTGATGTGCTGGCCGCATCCGAGGTGCAGCCACCCAAGAAGACTCCTCAAGCTTCGGAGTTCCCGCCACCCCCTCCAAGGCCATCCGTCATACCTGCTCACGAGGCGTGCACCAAGGAAGCCACGGGAGCAAAAACGATCCCAGCACGTCCAAGAAAAGCTTCAGCCCGCAACAACAATGTAGCTTTGCCAGCTTCTGAACCCGAGCGTCGCCAAGAAAACGGCTCGCGGAAGGAACTAACGGCCGCGCATACTGGCGGTCGGGTCACTCTCGAGCAAACACAGCGCCCAGCTCTCAGTCCCGGATTGCCAAATTCTTATCAGAACAATGGCCGAACTGACCCGCCACTAGACGCTGATTTGGCAGTCACGTTGGAGGAGTCTCAGCTGCGTCCGGCGCTAACAGTTGGCCTGGGTTCCTTCGGTGCACCAAAAGCGGGCGAAGGAACCATCAAGTCAAGGAAGAGTGATGTTGACCAGTGGAGACAGCCACCTCGCATGGTTCCGAGTCCTGCACTTCACATAGAGATGTTGAAGGACGTACCGTGGCCGCGCGTGACAAGCCCGCCTTTCCAGACAAGGCCAACAACGAACGCCCCAGCCCATTCACGGACGCAGTCGGCACAGACTACGACTACCACCTCGTCTCACTTCAGCCGCGGCTCAAGCGTCACCTTTCCGACTACTGCTCCCTCGTCTCAGGAGAGCTGCATTAATGTCGCTGGCTCTCCGGCCGAAAAGGCCCAAAGAGGTGCTACCGGGAGTCGAAGGGGCTTCGGCACGGTCAGCGGCTCGATCTCAGACACTTCCTTGACAAACAAGCTTTCCGGCGAATTCCATAAGGGCGAAAAGGAGCAGCATGACGGCAGCAGACACATACGCGCACAATCGGGTTCTCGAAGCATCGTGGTGACTGTCGAGCAGTCGTACTCCTATCAGATCTTGGAGCCCGTCAGTAAGTGCGAGGCCATCATGCTTCCACGACCTCGTCTGCGATCTCGCAGCATGGAAGCAAGGTCGGCAGCTGTAGTCACCGCAATTCACGCAGCCCCCGAGCGTGTTTGGCACCGAGATCGACGCCCTAGTGTGGGTCAAGCAGCTTTTCTGACAACCCGAACTGCGCCGATCGGAACCTCTGGCAGAGTGGTTCACTTTTCGCGATCGAAAAGCATTGCTCCGCCCCCGTCGAAGCCAGAAAGCGACATTCGTCTAAAGCTGCATGCTAGCATGCCACCGCCTGTTCCTCCGAAGGATCACTTGTCAATGCACGCATCAACGAAGCCTTTGCCACCGATACCGACTCCATATCCTTGGAAAGTGACGTTTTCGGTCGACAGGGAAAGGGCGGAGTCGTTGGAGCTTTTGGAGGCCGCTGAGATCCTCGAGCTCAATCGACAGCTAGATGCAGAGCGACAGGCTTGGCGCCACCAGCACAGCTCTAGCATAGGCTCCCACGGTTCTCCGTTCTTCGATCGGCTAAATCCGTGCCTGCTTGATCCTTCTGATGCGGGCGTCGCCACGACGCTCACCAATCGACGCGTCAGGAGGGCGAAGTCGGATCTTCGACGCCCATCCGAGGGCTCAGTCAAGGTGGAACGCCTGTGGAATCCGGACGGACGGGACTCGACCTTTTTGGTGGCCCAGCCTCAACAGCCCAACATATACACGAGCCGCAGGATGTCGGCCAGCAGCCCAGCGCTCGTTCAAGGCCAAGATGAGCGTCAGGTGCAGCGTCACGGTTTACTTCGTCAATTTGCGACAGGTCTGTCGACCATGGTCAAGCGAGGAAACGCCCTGGAGCGGAGGAGCAAGATGCCCGACACAGGATTCACCTTCCCCAAGCACAACGACGGCGGACTGGGACCCAAAGCAGCGTCGACATCGCAGCTCATAGGTTTGCACGCATTCGGAAAAGAGCGTAGGATCATTGTCGAAGAGCCCATCGTCATTGGTCGGAGCTCCGTGCCAGTGCATGCTGAGGCTGCGAGGATAGCGGACGGCGCGCGTGCAAAGGCGCATGCGGACCTAACGACACAAGCATCGAGCGTCGCCTGCGGAAGGGCTGTCGAAGGTCACCTTGCCACCAAGTTGCAAGTGTGCAACGCGAATTCACAGTCTGGCAACGACACACACAAGAAGGATCTGAGACGTGCAGAGGCGCGCGATGTCTGGTTCGATGCAAGCCAGAACATCAACGTGACGGCTCAGCCCGCCTTACGCACTTCTGCCGCAATTGGTGCTCTGGGCAGCGGTCATGTTGAGTATAGCGTGTCCCAGGAAGAGCGCGATCAGCTCGAGCTCGACCGTGCAATTGCACAGCTCGAGGCTGAAGACAGAGCCACAGAACTCGATGCGCCTGCCGCTTCCAAAACGAGCTGCAGCACGTCCGAGTGCTCCTGCCAAATGTGCCGAAGATCTGCAAGCAAAATAGCGCGGCAAGCGGGTCAGAGCGATAGTGCCACAGCGAGCTGGCTGAATGAGCCTGTCCAGCGTCTAGCGCCGGCCGACCGGACTCTCTCCAGCCCCTACGAGGAGATCAAAGGCGATGCGACACGGGAGTGCGGACCGTCCGAGCACAAGCTCAAGCGGTCCGATACGGAAAATTCGAACCTTTCAGGCGATGCACATGGGGAATTCCGGATTTGGGAAGCCAATACGGTGGATGTCGATAGTCTCTTCTTTCGGCCGCCTCCAAAGCGGACGCCGACGGACTAGAACTGTAGCGAGCGCAACTGCAGACCTTTATGAATGGACATTGTAGCCACATGCCTGCTGAGATGCGAGTCATTGAGCCCGTCCTATGCCATTTCTTCGAGCTGGAAGCGAGAGGCCCACGTCAGGAATGGCGAGCGAGCTGAAGCAGAAAGTGCGGATGATGTTGGTGGTGTTGGTCGCTAAATTCGGAACTCGGAACGACGACGCGCTAACGCGAGCGGGATGCGGCTGGACCCTGACCTGTCCTTCTGAGCTATGCTCCCCCAGACCTCACCACAACCACATATCCTTCTGGTCTCCGCGTCCTGGCCACATTCACGATGCAGAGATCCGACGAGATCGATAAAGCCGTCAGTACTGGTGCTGCAAGCGACGACGTCGAAACGATGGATGTGGATTTGACGCCGCCCAAGAAGCGGGTCAAATCCGCCCAGATCAGCCGCCAGGTGTCTGTCGAAGGCGATATGACCCGCGACACTGCCGCTGACGCCCATCACATCACAAAACAGCGGGTATCACCGACCTCCGGCCTTGCAGCTGCTGGCTCGTCGGCTACGACAGAACCCGAGATCAAAATCGAGCCGGTGGCAGGAGCACCGCTATCCGCCTCGCTGCCTGCACACGACACCACGCCAGTTGCGGTCAAGGCTGAGTCGGACCTCCTCGGTGTCACTGCTGAACCCCCAATCGAAGCCGATGACGTACCTGCACCGAAAAAGAAGAAGACGACTTCCGTTTCCAGCAAGAGCAAGAAGGGTAGCAGCACGAAGAAGGCTTCGGCATCGACAAGTGCGCACGCCGAATCGTCCACCTCGAGTCGAACCAAGGTCAAAGTGGAGGAGAAAGCACCACCGGCTGCAGCACCTGGAGAGGAAGAGGAGGAGGAGGAAGACGATGCGCTGTACTGCATCTGCAAGCGGCGGCAGGACGACATTGAGGGCGGCATGATTGCCTGCGACCGATGCGACCAGTGGTACCACTACCGATGCATGGAGATTACTGAGGATGACGCCGAGCTCGTCGACCGCTTCGTCTGTCCGCCCTGCCACGAGTTCACGCCGGAGCGCACGACGTACAAGGCGGCATGTGCGCGTGCAGGGTGCAGGCATGCTGCGCAGACGCCGTTCAGCAAGTACTGCTCGGACCGATGTGGTGTCCTTGCGCTGTCGGCACGCCTGGCCGGGCTGAAGGTGAATAGGAACAAACAGGCAGCGGCGATGTTCGAGGCAGATCCGCGCGTCGTGGCTGCGAGAAAGACGGAGGCACTCACACAGAGGACGGACGCATTCTACGATGCCAAGGGCGAGTGGGATCGAGTGGTTGCGGCAGGGCTGTCGGAAGGCGCTACGGATGCGGCAGTGCAGAGGCTCGGTCTTTCAGGAGCCTTTGCGCTGATGCGCAGCGCTGACAGCGCACAGCCCTTTCCAATCGCCAACGGGACGGACCCAGCCGCAGCAAATGACGAGTCGGCCGAGCAAGCGCCCGCGAATGCGGAAGGGCCGACGAGCGATGCTTCGTCCGCTACGAGTCTTATCGGCCTTGCCGAACAGTTGCGGCTGGTCACGCGCCAGATTGCTGCAGTCGACCTCGAAAAGACACAGATCAACGGGCGGCTTG